CCAGTGCGAGGCGGGGCCAGGGCCCGGCCCCCCCCCCCCCCCCCCCAGCCTTTGTGCGGCCACGTCAGGGCCCTGATTCTGCGCAGCATGGGGGCTATCCTGAGCCCTGGCCACCCCAGGCCTGGCTGGGCTCCAGGCTCGTTATTCAGTAACAAGCCGTCGGGTGCATTTCCCCAGAGCCACCACAAGCAGCGGGGGGGGGGGGCCATGGACTTGGCGGGCGTGACGCGGTGCTCGCGCCCATCTCGCACACGCGCGAGCCCGGCCCCGCATGTCGGCACCTGCTCCCCTTCCCCCACAGTCATCCCCAGGGCTGGCACAGCCCCCCCACGGCTAGCCCAGCACCCCAGGAGGGTGGGCCTACGTGACCCCCACGGGAGACGGGTGCCCCCCACCGGCCCTGCCAAGAGGAGCCTGGGCAGATGGGCACCCCCATGCAGGGCTGTTCCTGCAACCAGGCCCCAGCCTAGAGCAAGGTCCGGGGACAAAAACCAGGGGAAATCAGGAAGAGGGGGTGGGGGGGAGCCTTAGGGCCAGGGCTTTCACTTGGAGGAGGGCAATCAGGAGGTGGAAGGAGAGGGCCCTCCGGCCCCCAAACCCGCCGGTCCCGGCTCCGGGACTCAGCAGCCAGCCCACGTGCTCGCACCAAGCTTGCAACAAAGCAGTTACCTGGGATCCCCTCGCTCCACTTTGCAGACAGACCCCCCCCCCCGTACCAATGACACCAAAACAGGAGGGTCCCACGGGGAATCCCTCACTCCCCCCAGCCTCTGTGCTTCCTCGGCAGGGAAAAGCCCTGGGAGCCCCCAAGGAGATGGGCCAAGACCCTCCTCTTTGCAAAGAAGCCCCCCAAGAAAGAAACCGGGGCCATAAGCCTCTTTGGTACAGAGCTGCTGCGGGGGGGCAAGCTGGCCTGGCCACGAGGGAGGGGCAGAAATGGTATCTGAGCATCCTAGGAAGTGCCCCCAGGGCTGGGGGTCCACAAGAAGCAACAGGGCCTTGTCCCTGAAGAGGGCGGATAGTCCTGCCTGCCTCCTCCCTGCTCCCTCAAGCCCCCCAGCGCCAAGCCTTTTGTTCCAGGCAGATGCATGGGGTGCAACCCCCCTCCGCCAGCCCATGCAGCCCCTCAGCTGCAACCCAGGCCTGTGCCCCTATGCCCCGACACCGGGAGGCTTCTCCCCTTGGAGGCTCTCTTTGCACCCATGAGCCCTATAAACTCAGGCAGCAAGCTGCAAGAAGATGCCAGGGTGCAAGTCTGGAGAGGCAGCCCTCCCAAGCTTGCCTCTGCTCTCTTGCCCCCCGCCCCCCTTGAATCTAGCAAATCCCCAGCTTGGGGGGCAACTGCAAAGAGATGCCAGGGTGCAAATATGATGGGGCAGCCCCCCTCGCCCCTCCCCCAGGCTTGCCTCTGCTCCCTTTATCCCCAAATCTAGCAAATCCCCAGCTCACAGGGGCTACTGCAAGGAGATGCCAGGGTGCAAATCTAGAGGGACAGCCCTCACAGGTTTGCCTCTTCCCTCTTTGTCCCCCCAAACTAGCAAATTCCCAGCTCAGGGGCACCTCCAAGGGGATACCAGGGTTCAGTATATAATGGGGCTTGCCTCTGCTCGTTGCCTCCTGAATCTAACAAATCCCCAGCTGGAGGGGGGGCAATGCAAGGGGATGCTAGGGTGCAAATCTGGAGGGGCAGCCCACCCCCAACACATTCCCAGCTCGGGGGGCAACTCCAAGGGGATGCCAGGGTGCAAATCTGGAGGGGCAGCCCCCCCAGGTAAATCCCCAGCTTGGAGGGCAATTGCAAGGGGATGCCAGGGTGCAGATCTGGAGGGGCAGCCCCCCAGCCTTACCTCTGCTCTCTTTGCACCCCCCCCAATCTAGCACATCCTCAGCTTGGGGGTGGGGGCAACTCCAAGGAGCTGCCAGGGTGCAAATACAATGGAGAAGCCACCCCCCACCCCCCGAGCACGGGGAGGCCCCCCTGCGTGGTCACGGCCCGAGGGGGGGGCTGCCCCGGCTTAACGCGCGTTATGTAACGTGTGTGCGCTCCGCGCGGCCCGCGCCCCCCGCGCTCCTTACCCGGGCGGGCCAGTGCGGGTAGCCCTTCATCTTGGCGAACACCAGGTCCCCGCACTTGTACTCCCGCTGCCTGTTGGAGCGGGACATGGTGCCCCCGGCCCTCCCGAGCGCTGGGTGGGGGCGGCGTGCGGCCGCGGCCCTCGGTGCTAGCAGCGCGGGAGCTCCAGGGAGGTGGGAGAGTGCCCCATGCAGTTGTTTGTGTTTGAAATTCAATTGCTCCCTCCCTCTCCCGGTGGAGCCGATCGGCGCTCGATTGCTCGGGCCTGCCCCTTGCACACACACGCACGCGCGCGCGCGCACACATACACACACGCATGCATGCACACCCACTGTGCATGCGTGCGCCCCGCAGGCTGGGAGCGCCCTGGAGGGGGGCCCGCCTTTGCAAATGGGGCTGGGGGGCACAGGATGAGCTGGGGCTTGGTGGGGTCTGGTTGCAAGGGGAAGGGCTGCTTGGAGGGGGTCTGGTAGCAAAAAAAAATGAAAATAAAAAGGAAAGGTCAGTTGGGGGTGTGCTTGCAAAAAAAAAAAAGGTCATTTGGAGAGGGTCTGGTTGCCCAAAAAAAAGTGGGGGTCATTTGGAGGGGTCTGGTTGCAAAAACAAGGGTTGCTTGGAGGGGCTCTGGTTGAAAAAAAGAAGAGTCTGATGGCAAAAAGAAAGGTCACTTGGAGGGGGGCTGGTTGCCAAGAAAAAAGGGTCACTTGGAGGGGGTCTAGTTGCAAACAAGGGTCACTTGGGGGCTGGTTGGAGAAAAAAAAAAAAGGGGGTGCCACCAAGTGAAACCTCCCTATCATCACTTATAATTATTAGGACTGCAATTAAGGCCATTTGGGACCCTCCAGGCCTGTGAGAGCAGAGACCCTCATCCCCTAAAAAGCTGCAGTTGTCTGGAGTGACTTTTGGGGGGAGAATACGGGTGAAAATGGGGAGGATCGGATCTGCTGCTTCCTTTTCCTCAGGCTACAGAGACATTCACAATGCCACACGAGGTCAGTTTGGGGTTGGAAGGACGAACTGCCCAGCTCCGGAGAGGCAAGAGCTTGCTCCATCAGATGCTACAAAACCACAGGCAGCTCTGGTTCAGTTCGTCTATAAGGTGCATCCCTGTCCTGCTTTGGTCCTGACTCCGGACTAACTGGGTGGCCTACCCACATCTCCCAGCAGCTGCATGATCCCTATGGATCAAGGAGAGAGAGGGGGTGAAGCCGGCAGCTAAAATGGTCCTGAAACAGCCAAAGGAAAGCCGGTCGCAGCAGAGCCAAGCAGCAGATGGGCCAAAAGCTTGTGTCAAACTCCATCGGCAAATGAAAATAGGATACGAGAGACATAACCCAGCAGATAAGAGAGGCGATGTTGGCTGCCCAGTTGCTTCTCTTGGGTCCTGCTAGTAGGGAATGTTATGCAACTTTGGGCTCCATCTGTTACTTCACTCTGCTGCACCTTCTCTCCTGGAGACCCCAGGAAGGGCCATGTGATGCCTGAAAATTGGTCTTTGTCTATCCCAACCACATGCGGTTGGTCCAATAAAAGATCATCCCCTCTAAAATTCTGCCTATCTTTCCTAGGCCATCATGGCTACAAAATCATTTCAGAGAAGGGAATTGTTTCTGGGCAGGCGGTCACTCGGGAGAGGTTGGGGGGTCCTGGTAATGTTAGAGCCTAGCACCATGGTCAGGGTTAGGGTTATCTCCTCCATGACTCAATACAACCTGGGTCACAGCCCTTGAAGCTTTCCCCATGTGTTTGACTTCACCCAGGGGCTGATGCTTCGCAATGCCACAGGGGTTGAGGCTTGGGCTTATGAGCCCAAAGACCCTGGTCATTACTCGAATGCCGGCAGCCTCCGCTCTGCTTAGACCTTGGAAGTGACCTGCAGGATTGGGGGTTTAATGAGAGAAGAAAGGACAGAGCTAAACGCCTTGTCCTCAAATGATGTATGCACCCCAATCATCTTGCTACTCAAAAAAAGCCCCAAATTCCTGGCATGCATTAGCAGGATTGGGGCCTATTTGCATCATTGCCAAAGAAGCTAGAACAAGCAAATATTAAGAAAAACCCAAGAATGCTATATGTGAATGTGAAGACAGGACCCAAACTCCTATTTGTTCACTATAACTCATCCTTCACTAGACCTTGTCCAGAGATGAACCACTGGGCAAGGACTTCACTGACCAGGAAAGCTTCACTGGGGCCATCTCTGACCCTCCTGGGTGTCTTGTCTCCTGGAGGCTTGGGGAAGTAGTTGAGAATCTTTGTTTCCCTTCATAAAATATGAGTTTTGGGGCCTCCTGGCTACAAAGCAAAGCATGCAAGGCTCCCACGCTGGGCCAAGGGGGTTGTGGAAATCCCATAAAGCCCAAAGGGGCTTTCTGAAAAAAGGGTGATATTTTCTTTTTTGAGCAAAAGGTTTGCATGCGTGGGGCTGACTGCAGGCTTGGGCCCTGGATAGCAGGATTACAGACAGCACCAGGGGTGAAACACGTGGCTACCTGGGGCCAGAGCTATGAACATGCAGCTGGGGGGGAGGTTACCCAGTGAACGCATGATTCATAATTTTTCCCTCCCCTTCCCCCAAAGCTAAAACGGAGTGAGGCCAGCTGAAATCAGGAGTGAGAGTGATGCAGGTTTGCGTTATGGGGATTTCTGTTTCCTCCCTCCCCCCCATTCAGTCGCAGGACAGTCAAAGGGGAAGGGCCCCGGGGGAGGCTGTGGGGGCTCAGGAGAACATGAGTCACGCTACAGAGATAAAGATGACAAATCATGGGCTTGGGGTTAAAAGCGTGCTGCTGTGTTGACGATCGGGCCTAAATGTTCCATGTCTTCCAGGATGGTTGGGCTGGTTGGGCTCCCCTCTGGTTCTGCGAAGACATCTTCCATCCATCAAGGTTGAGAATAGACGATGGCTTCCAATAGCAGCTGTTGGGAGACTCTTGATGCTGATAAGGATGGCTGGACCTAGCACCCATTCTGTGGGGTGTAGCAGGAGGGCTGGGATCCCTTTGAGCCCACTTGGGTCATTGCAATTCCTGATGCGGCCTCTGTATCCTGAGTTTTGAGGGTTTCCGGCAAGGTGACGCCTCTTGCTGGGAAAAGCAAGGTGCATTCGTGACCCTACAGATCTGCTGTGCAAAGGGGCGGGTTGAGAGGAGCGCCCCAGGCAGAGACACGGTGGAAAATGCAGAATTGCAAAATGCAGGACACAACGATCTGCGGATGGAGCTGCAGGGGGTTTTCTGGGCAGGGACGGTGGAACTCAGGATATCCCCTGTGTTAGGACAGGGGTCAAAGTCCCATTTTCACCTTCCTCCCTCAAATGAGACCTCCACTGATTTTGGGTGGGGGCAGTTTTGCCTGAGCAGGGATTGCAAGGTCAGGCCCGACCCCATCTGATCCAGTTCCATGATATTTTGGTAGAAATGGTTTTCCTTCAATCCTGAATAGGGCGGGGGTGGCGTGGAGTGATGGGCAAGGCAGATGGAGATATGGAAATACCATCACTTTATTCTAGATCCGATTGTGCCAAGAGGTGGGGTCCCAGCCCTGCTGTGCGCAGTGCTGGACACAGACATGATCTGGGTGTTGTTATTCCAGTTCTACATACAGGGAATCAATGGGGTGTATGTGCTCAGCCCCACAGAGAGCCAGTGGCACAGGCAAGATTTTAACCCAGGCCTCTTGAATACTCAACTAGTGCTGTAACCACCAGGCCTGCCTTCCTCCAACCCAAAGCCTTCTGCTGAGAAACTGAAATCGACTGTAACCAAAGGCAAAAATGACCGGCCTCCTCACACTAAGTTTTCTCCAAGTTTGCTGAAGTGGAGAAAAACTTCTCAGAATGACCCCGACCACTGGGAGGCAACTCTGTTGTTCTATTTTTAACATTTTCAGCTGTTACATCCCTCTTTAATACAGCAGAGACCTGCCAATTTGGTAGATTATTGCCCGGGGTAGGGGAGGAGGGCATGACAGATTAGCTGGTGCTCCAGGCATCCCCAGTGACAAAATGAAGGAGCCTGCATTACAAAACGCACCGGGCTCATTTGTCTTCATTCAGCCTTAATTGGAGATGTGGCCTCTTTACAGCATCCTGGCAGATGGCTTCCTGGGACAGTGGGGCAGTGCCCAGATTTGAGCATGCGAGTGACCTCCAGAGGCCGCCTCTTGCTTTCCCGAATGCTTATCCCAAATCTTGCTTTCTCAAATGCTGGAATCCATCCAAACGGGGATCCCGGCGAAGCCAGGGGAGTTCAACCTGCCTGAGATGCACACGAGAGGTTCTTCCTGTTATATTTTACTTGGACTGGGGCCCACCTCTGGAGCAGAACCAGCACTGCCAACACATGGAGCAAGAGACGATCCCCTCACACTCCAGCTTCCCAGGGAATCGGAGCAGGATCTTGACAAAGCCACTCCAAATCCATCGTCATCGTTACTGTCGTTATAACAGCACCTTGTGGCTACATCCCTGTGGAACCACACTGTTGTATGACGGAGGACGCGTCTTCCACCAAACTGATCAGGCGAGATAGGAACAGGGAGAGGAAGTGGAGCCAGGAAGTGACCTGCACAGGCTTGCCATAGTGGGACACAGGTGGGTCAGTTTAGAGGTCTCCAGCTGAGTTGGCAAGAAGTAGGGGAGCCTCCAAGTGAGGGGTGTTGTAGACAGCCCTTCTCTTCCAGAGCCCAACCCCCACTCCTCTATTCATTCGGAAAGCACCAGCTGACTCGGGCCCCGGCAAGATTTGGCCTTAAATTAGAGCCGCAATACAGCGACAAGCACGGCAGGCTGAGAACCTGAGGGTCCTGCCTTCCTCCAGGCCCCCTCCGGCATCCTGGGTCTCCCCAGGGTTTGTCTGCGGCAGCCGAATGTTGGCCACCACGGCCCCCCCGCTTCAGCCCAGGCAGGTTCGGGGGCTCTGCCATGTGGTCGAGTCTGGGTTAAGCAGAGCTTTGCTCTTGTGCAAGTCAGCGATTTGCAAGGGAGGGTTTGGAGAAGGGAAGGGACCCTGCTTCAGGCCAGATTTGTCCAGCTATGCTTCCAGGCTGCCTCCTTTGGGGCTCGGGGCAGGAGGTGGACACGGAAACAAGCCTAGTATGGGCTCAGGGGCAGAGCTGTTGCTGTGGGGAGCCCAGAGCCAGGGCCTGGGATAAACCTTGCCACGGGTCCTGACCTAAGCCCTGCCATACGGCCTGACCAGGGATAGGCCTTGCCATGGGGTCTGGCCTGGGTTAGGGTTGGCCAAATATAGGCCTTGCCACGGGGCCTGAGTTAGGCCAGGCCCAGGATATGCCGAGCCCGGGTTAGGCCTTGCATCCCACCACCCCTCGGGGATTTCCGGGCTGCCGGCCCGCGGGGCACTGTGGGAACCGTAGTCCCTCCCCCGCCCCGCGAGGCCGGCTCGGCGATCCACCCGGCGCCCTGGCACGCACGGCGTCAGAGTCCAGCCTCCGCGCCAAGCGCAGCCCCACCGCGCTGCATGCTGGGAAAGGCGGGCCGGGGAGGCTGCACGAGGCACACCGGGAGCTGGAGTCCCGCGGTGGAGGGGGGCGGCGCGGCTCCCGCCTCTCGCCGACTACAACTCCCAGCAGGCCGCTGGCGCGCGGGGCGCTCTGGGAGCTTCTCTCCCCCTGAACG